ACAGCAGGGAACTTTGGGGGGGTAAGGGACAGCGGGGAGCTTTGGGGACAAGGGGCAGCGGGGGGCTTCAGGGTGTGAATGGATGAGGGACACCGGGGGGGGGCTTTGGGGGCAGAGGGCGCTGAGGGGACACTTCAGAGAAGCTGTGGGGGACAGATAGATGGGGAACGCCGGGGGGGGCACCGTCTGACATTGCTCCCCCCCCTCATTGCTCCCCAGCGCTGCCGCAGGACACGGTGCTGGGCCGCCCCGGTGCCAACGTGACGCTGCTGTGCCGGGATCCGGAGCCGCCCAACGGCACCGTGCTGTGGTCCGGGAGGAGGCGGGCGTTGGGGGGGGGCAACGCGCTGCTGCTGGGGGGGCTGCGGCCGGAAGACGCCGGGCGGTACAGCTGCCACCAGGGGGGTCACACGTTGCGCACCGTGCGTCTGCTGGTGGAAGGTGGGTGCGTGGTGGGGCGGCGTGGGTCCGGGTCTCCCCGCATCCCCCCCGCCCCCCCCCCCCTTTTCCTCCAACACCTCACTGCCCCGCAGAGCCCCCCGAGCCCCCCCACGTCTCCTGCTCCCGGCGCAGCCACGACAAAGATGTGCTCTGTGAGTGGCAGCCGCGCGCATTGCCGGCTCCGGGCACGCGGGCGGTGCTGTGGATGAAGCGCAGGTGAGCTTCCCACCCCCCCATTTCCCCCCCCCATGAGTCATTCCCCATTGTGGGGAGATGTGGGGGGTTGCCTCATGACCCCCTCCCCACCTTGTGCCACATCCCTGTGCCTCCCCCCCAGATTCACAGCGGAGAACATGACGGAGCAGCGGTGCCACTTCTACTCCGTGGCGCAGAAATTTGTCTGTCGGGTGAAGGTTCCGCCTGGCACCGAAGACACCAAAGCCCTCGTGGTGTCTGTCTGTGTCAGCAGCCGTGCAGGGAGCAGCACTGGGGAGGACCGCATCATCACCCTCAATGGCATCCGTGAGTGCCCGTCCCCAAGACCCCCAGACCCCAAATCTTGTGGTGCCCGCATCCCCCAGCTCCTTCCCATGCTGATCCCTGAGCCCTGCGCTGCTCTGGTCCCCAAAGCTCCCCAGGTCCCCATCCCTGAGCCCCCAGGTCCCCAAAATGTTGTGGTGCCCACATCCCCAACCCCTGGTGCTGAGCCCTGCGCTGTCCTGATCCCC